AGTATGGGTAGTCGACGGGATGGTCACCTTCGTATGTTCTTTCTCCCCGGTGGTATGGGTGGTCGGCGGGATGGTCACCTTCGTATGTTCCTTCTCCCCGGTAGTATGGGTAGTCGGCGGGATGGTCGTTGTGACGGTTGTGGTGGGCATTTCGGTCGTCGTGGTAGTGGTGGTAGCAGTCGGGATCTGGCACTGTTGCTCAGGTGCAGTGGCTCCAGATCCGTTGCAATACTTCCAACCGGAAATGTGTTTGCCGCTCTTCCACACACAGCGTTTCACACCTTCCCCGCAAGGAGCGCATTCGTATGAGTCTATCAAACAATTCTGCCCGATCCCCCAGCTGCAGTAAAGGTTGTCAGACGGTATTGTGGATGACGTCACATCGTCGTCATAAATGATGGATAAAGGAATTTCGACTTGTTCAGTGTTCTTCAGATGGCATCGAGCGGCTCTATCATACTCATATCCCATCTCTACTGTGTCATAAGACCAGAGGAACCTCACACAGTCCGGGTCCTTCTGACATTCAGCCTGGCACAGAGCGGGAGTTGGAATCTCCTCAAGAACCTTATACCCCGACAAAGTGTCGGGCTCATTGTACCCGTAAACCCAATTGTCAAAGCAGACACCTGTAGGGGTGACCTTGTCGTCCAGATCCACTGTGAAGTGTTCAGACATACACTTCTCCTGCAGTGAAGAAGCACTTAGTAAATCCATTCCTGAAGCTTCCACAACTTCACAATCTGCCTGGCATTCTTCGTTAGTGTAAGCACTCGTTTTTGACACGTACTTGTTACAAATCGAAGGGTGGTTGTACTCGTATATACAATGCTCTGACACTCGATGTTGCTTGATATCCTCCGACGCACAGCAGTCAGCAATTCCGTCGTAGCATTGGAAATAGTGATCATTCCGTACGCACAACGAGCTTTGTGTATCTTTGTCCACCCTTAAGTCAGCGTCACCACATGGCGTGCATCCTATCTGGTCTCCTAGAAATGGAGCCAAACATTCTTTCCCGTATGACACACCGACCAATACAATAAAGTTCACGGATCTCATTTTAATGGTTTCTTCAAGTTCATGACAAGATCAATTTCAAACACGGTGTAGACAGCCCGTTGCGAAGCATTCCAAGACAGTCCCTTTCTACTCTGCACTCCTGATTCTATACTACAACCTAATATCAGAGGTCAACCTTTTAAACAAAAAATACCTTGCTATCAAAATCAATTGTCTACAGCGATTCTAAGTTTCTTCGGCTGGTCGTGGATCCTGAGGGCTATACCATGCTCATCACCCTTACAGCATTCTCCGCATTCCTTATCAGGTTGGCACCCCTT